TCACAACAACTCTCACCGGCACTCACAACAACTCTCACCGGCACTCACAACAACTCTCACCGGCACTCACAACAACTCTCACCGGCACTCACAACAACTCTCACCGGCACTCACAACAACTCTCACCGGCACTCACAACAACTCTCACCGGCACTCACAACAACTCTCACCGGCACTCACAACAACTCTCACCGGCACTCACAACAACTCTCACCGGCACTCACAACAACTCTCACCGGCACTCACAACAACTCTCACCGGCACTCACAACAACTCTCACCGGCACTCACAACAACTCTCACCGGCACTCACAACAACTCTCACCGGCACTCACAACAACTCTCACCGGCACTCACAACAACTCTCACCGGCACTCACAACAACTCTCACCGGCACTCACAACAACTCTCACCGGCACTCACAACAACTCTCACCGGCACTCACAACAACTCTCACCGGCACTCACAACAACTCTCACCGGCACTCACAACAACTCTCACCGGCACTCACAACAACTCTCACCGGCACTCACAACAACTCTCACCGGCACTCACAACAACTCTCACCGGCACTCACAACAACTCTCACCGGCACTCACAACAACTCTCACCGGCACTCACAACAACTCTCACCGGCACTCACAACAACTCTCACCGGCACTCACAACAACTCTCACCGGCACTCACAACAACTCTCACCGGCACTCACAACAACTCTCACCGGCACTCACAACAACTCTCACCGGCACTCACAACAACTCTCACCGGCACTCACAACAACTCTCACCGGCACTCACAACAACTCTCACCGGCTCTCACAACAACTCTCACCGGCACTCACAACAACTCTCACCGGCACTCACAACAACTCTCACCGGCACTCACAACAACTCTCACCGGCACTCACAACAACTCTCACCGGCACTCACAACAACTCTCACCGGCACTCACAACAACTCTCACCGGCACTCACAACAACTCTCACCGGCACTCACAACAACTCTCACCGGCACTCACAACAACTCTCACCGGCACTCACAACAACTCTCACCGGCACTCACAACAACTCTCACCGGCACTCACAACAACTCTCACCGGCACTCACAACAACTCTCACCGGCTCTCACAACAACTCTCACCGGCACTCACAACAACTCTCACCGGCACTCACAACAACTCTCACCGGCACTCACAACAACTCTCACCGGCACTCACAACAACTCTCACCGGCACTCACAACAACTCTCACCGGCACTCACAACAACTCTCACCGGCACTCACAACAACTCTCACCGGCACTCACAACAACTCTCACCGGCACTCACAACAACTCTCACCGGCTCTCACAACAACTCTCACCGGCACTCACAACAACTCTCACCGGCACGTGGGGAATGAGCTCTCTGGCGGCGAGTTGCGCTGCATCCATGGCTCGGATGACGGACTTGGCCATGGGCATGTAGATGGGCCACTCGGGGGTGGTGGGGTCTTGCAGGGCCATCGCGAGGGTGACTGGCGGACCGGGAAGAGGGTGAGGGGTGAGGGTATGGGAATGTTGGATGGGCCAGTCGGGTATGTGCACATGAGGATGAGAGCTTGCGGCCATTACATTGCACGCACTCACCCACCACTCTACCACCCCTGAACTCTCTTCCTGCTGTTGCTGCTGACACCAGAGGCGAAACGGGCACCACTTGCCTCACACATGCTCACACCAGGGGGGTTAGGGTTATGGACGCGATACAGGGTGACTGGCTTACATGCGACGATCTCCTCCTCCTGAAGCTTCTGGCTCCTGCTGCTGCTGATGCCTGGTGGAGTGACGTGGAAGGTGATGGGCATCATGGGCTCCTCGTGCAGCATCACGCCCATTATGCCCAGATCCACCACGAGGCTGCATGCGAGGCGAGATTGTGAGAGGGAGAGAATGGAGAGGGGGGAAGAAGGAGAGATGCACGGGGCACCAAGGTGAGAATGGGCATCATTGGCTCCTCGTGCAGCATCACGCCCATTATTCCCAGATCCACCACCAGGCTGCAGGGCAGATTTGAAGCAGAGGGGAAGGGTAGCGGCAGTGGGGAGTGAAGAAGGAGTGGAGTGGATTGAAAGCTGATGGGCACCATTGGCTCCTCGTGCAGCATCACGCCCATCATGCCCATGATGGGTATAATTGGTTGGTCCACCACCAGCCTGCACACCACTGTGGAAGGGCAGAGGGGAGGACACTGATGATGGGTACCACCGCATTTCCTTTCACGCCTCTTCCTCTCACGCACCATTCCTAGCCACGCCCCTCCCACTCACGCCCCTCCCACTCACGCCCCTCCCACTCACGCCCCTTCCACTCACGCCCCTTCCACTCACGCCCCTTCCACTCACGCCCCTTCCACTCACGCCCCTCCAACGCGCACCCGGCCCTCCGACTCACGGGGCAGCAACGCGGATGAAGACAGCGTTCGCCTTGGGCACGTGGTACCGGCTGTCGTCCTTACCGTCGTCACTGCCCGGGTAGATGCAATGGGCAACAAGGTTCTCACGACTCCCCCTCCCACTCACGCACCACACCACGCCCCACGCCCACTCACGGGGCAGCAACGCGGATGAAGACAGCGCTCGCCTTGGGCACGTGGTACCCGCTGTCGTCCTTGCCGTCGTCGCTCCACCCCGCCCCAATGAAGAAGAGCACGAGGCCCTTGCTGGCGTTGGGCATGTTGTCTGGCGCCTGATATGGTCAGAAAAGGAGGAAGCACAGCCAAGCGCCGAGCAGTTAAAGAGTGGACTTTTGGGTCGACTCGGAAGCCGCCCCAATGAAGGAGAGCACGAGGCCCTTGCTGGCATTTGGCATGTTGTCCGGCGCCTGGGAGGGCGAGAGGGGGGAAGGAGAAACATTAAGACAGACATGCACTGAGATGCACCAGACGGCAGTCAGTAGGCGAGTGTGGTACCCACGGTCGTCCTTGCCATCGTCGCTCCACCCCGCCCCAATGAAGAAGAGCACGAGGCCCTTGCTGGCATTTGGCATGTTGTCCGGCGCCTGGGAGGGCGAGGAAGCAAGCACAGCCAGGAGGGATGGAATGAAGGAGCTTATATTTGCAATTGCAACTCACAAACTGGGGCGGTTTCCCAAGGCAACTCAGACATCACATGAGAGTGAGTCACAAAGCGGTTGTTTTAAAACCAGATAGCTTTTCAGTATAAAAACCGCGTGTGATGAGCCTTTGAGTTGGCTCAAAAGCAAATCGTGTTTGAAGAAGTGTTTTGAGACGTCTCAAAACAATCAGTATAAAAACCGCGTGTGATGAGCCTTTGAGTTGGCTCAAAAGCAAATCACATGAGAGTCACAAAGTGGATGTTTCAAGACCGTCTGACGGAACAACTTGCACTGCAACAAAAACTAGCGACGTTTTTTTAATCGAAAAATGCCCAGTGTTCACAAAAAAAGCGTTAGGTGGTGACACCAAGAAAATCAGACTGGTACTTTAGTTGACAAAAAATCAGCTCACAATGAGAGTGAGGTGGTGCCACCAGAGGAATCGGTTGGTAACGGTCTGGTTGAGCCAGCGGTGAGCGTTCACCAGCAGCACATACCCCGTCCACCACCCTCCGGCTTCCTTGGCTCGCATGCGATTGCCCGTGTCCTTCCACCTGCCAACACCAGGGCAGAGAGAGTAATGAACACCAAGAAGGATGGGTTGGTGAGAGTGACAGCACTATTCAGCCACAGGTGGAATCTCATGGAGTTTAGAGCCGAATGCGTGATATTTTCTACCGCATGGGCCAGAAGATTTAGCTAAAACTGCATGGCCGGCTTCGCATCAGCCAAGGCGAATGGTTCCTGCTGCATGCAACCATTGAAAAACTCACCCGAATTCCGCATCTGCGCTATAGACATATCTGTCCAGCTGTGTACTGCGACAGTTCCTCGCCGTCTCGCAGCCGCTTTGCGGGAAAAGCGGCGAGCCGGACGACTGTGCGATATCGGCGGAGAGCAGGTTTGGTCGCACGAGTTCGAAGAATGTCAAATAAGCGACGGTCAGTGCGACGGCGAGCGGCAGAATGCGACGAGTCAGAGCCCCCTGAAGTCGCCTGATGAGGACCCCAGGGCTTGACGCGTGCGGACGCGTCATAATAAAGCGTTATAAAGTACTGATTAGTTGCCTCACATTAAGAACCAAAATACAGTACGTCGCTACTGGTAAGAGCCTAAATGCATAGGCATTTACGATCTCGGGCCGGCTCCATATAGCTGAATGCAACAACGAAAACCACGGGGTGATATTTCAGTCGAGTATCTACTAAAATGCGGGTGCTGAAAGTGGTTTCTATTTCGGAATTTTCAATGTGGGTCTTGAAATGGACACTTTTACAAGTTGCTTCGATTGCAGGATAAAGAGAAGCAGGGGGGTACAACGTCCAAGAGCAATCCTACGCTACTGTTGGGAACACCAGCCATTTTAGCTGCTTATGATTATCTTGAGGTAACCTCAAAAAACCTAATCAGGCATCTATATTTGCCACATATTATTCCTTCTTTTCTTAGAATCTGCTAATTCTTCAAAACTTCGTAAGAAGTTTGATTTGACACCCCGACAACCACGAGCCACGAATGATTTTATCCGCCAAATTATACTGAACATTGGTGAGTCGGTCTCAGGCGAGTACATAGGAAGCAACAGAAGTGCAGACTGAGGGAACTGTTCTGGGCGTTCAGGATCGCAGGAATCTACGAGCAGCGACATGCATCATCGCCCATTCACTACGCTATGCGGTTCGACGACTTTCCATTACCTTTGGTCCATAATCCTTAGAGAAGTTACTGAAGCGTGATTGACTCGGTGATTCTTGGTGATTCATTCACCGAGTGATTCACTCGGTAATTCTACTACAGGATAGCATAGGAATCAAGTTGGTAATGGACCCTGATGTAGATAAGGGTCAATTTCAGTAGACTCTTCCGAAGATTCGTCTGAGTAGATTCGTCGCTTCAAGCAGTTATATCAAATGGCGGCACGTTCTGAGAGCTCTCAAAATGCACCAGGAGCGTCGCACCATCTAGAAAAGGAGGTTCGGCTCGAGCCAGACGCCGAGGCTGTCGAGGAGATTCTAGAAGATGACGCGGAAGATGCGGAGAAGAATCGCGAAACTACGCGGAAAGAGCGACGAGGGGAAGCGGAGGCGGCAAGGGAGACTGGTGGGAGGGAAGGTGGAGACGAGGTGGGGCAAGGGGAGGAAGGGGAGGAAGAGGAGGAAGAGGAGGATTGGGAAATGGAGGAGCATCTAACGATCGGTGATATAATGAATCGGGTGGGTGTGCTTGTCATGACTTGACCTGTCCCACCATTAAGCAGTACATTTCAAGACTCGCGACACTTTGCAGTCCTCCAGTGCCTGACTGACACTCCGCACTCTACTGCACTATCCTGTCCTATTCTTTTCCTGTCATGTCCGGCTGGTGCACGCTGGAGTTAAAGGTTTGGTTGTTTAGGCGCCGCAAAAAAATACCTCTACCCTGCCGGTCTTCCTCCCTCCCATACCGCGCATTCATGCAGGCAATTGCGGAGCAAGCGTTCCCGGGAGGAACAGTGGCGTTTGGCTCATTCGAGGGCCCTGTTTTCCACGCCTGTGAGTGCCATACAACCATCTCTCTTCTATGCAACAGCTTCTTGTCGAGACACCTTATAATCCGCCTGATAGCAGACCGTTTGTCAGATTGCTTGATGATGTACAGCATTTCTGTTATCAGATTACTCCACCCGCATGCCATGCAATGGTCTTCACAAATCCGCCACCCTTTTTCTCCGTGTTCTCTCATTGGCATGCGCTGTTCCATGGTACTTGGCGCATGGCTCATGGTCCATTGACATACGACACAAAACCTGACTGGAACTCTCAATCAACCCAGCCTTCGGCACTTATACTTAGTACGCTATCTTATACTTTGCTGTCCTTCCAGTGCTGTCAAGTGTGTCGAATCGATTGTTTACGCTTCACTTCCGCCTTTCCATCATTTGGTCTCTTTCGTTCAAAAGCCTCATTTACTAATTAAGTTCATTTGGTTGAAGTTCATTTTGTTTAAGTGTCTCAAGTCAATGCCTTGTCGCCTCTCGCTGCTCATCCCTCTTTTTCCCTCCCAGTGATTGCAACAGACCCATCACCTCAGACTCGCTCTGGGACCTCGCCTCTCTAACCAAGGTGAATGGGAAGAGGGGGAAAGGCGGAAGGGGTGAAGGGAGGTAGGGTTTGAAAGTTGTGAATGGGTGGCTCCCTGAGTTTGCAACAGACCCATCACCTCAGGCTTTGCTCTGGGACCTCGCCTCGCTCACCTAGGTTGTTGGGAGGGGTGGAGTGGGGTGGGGGGGAGGGAAAGAAGGAGGGCAAGACAGGGGGCGTGTTTCTGAAATGGGTGGCTGCCTTATCCCTGCCATGAACCTGCATAGCAGGTAACTTGGAATATGATTGCACGTTGGCCGGTGACTGCACTGACTCATGTATTGAGTCAACTCAGAACCTGTTTGAGTCGACTCAGAACCTGCCGTGAACCTGCATAGCAGGTTCCTTGGAATATGAGTGCATGTTGGCCGTTGACTGCACTGACTCACGTTCCTCACCCACCCATCCCATCCCATGTGTCCTTGCATGGCTGCAGATCATGGCCACTGTCCCTGCTGCAATGATTCTCTACGAGAAAGGTCTATTGGGTAGGCTGCTGCTCCTCCTCCTCCCCCCCTTCCCCCCTTCCCCCCTTCCCCCCTTCCCCACGCTGCATCTCCGCCCCATACTGCCCGCTCTGGATCTGCTCCTATCGGTGCACCCGTGGGCTATCATCAATCTGTGAGACAGGAGACGACTGTTGAGGCGCCTCAAAAGACACCCGTGGGCTATCATCAATCTCTCGGCACTACCAAACACGTTGTCTTCCCTCAGCGCCACCACTACCAGACTTAGATTCCCCACTGCATCGTTGCCTGCCTGCATACGGATACGGCATGAACGGGAAGCATGTGTTGACGGTGCACATGCTGCTTTTGAGTCGACTCAAAAGGTGAGTTTTGACTTCTGAGTCGACGCAGAAGTCACCTCGGTGCACATGCTGCTGACAAGCCTCTGAGGTGTTCTGAGCGACTTTGAGCGACTGAGCTGTTTCTAGGCGTGCTTGATGTTACACTACAGAACCCCCTCCCATCCCCCACCACCACCACTACTACCAGACTTACAAGCCCCAGTGCATCGCTACCTACCTGCGTTCGGAGCAAACGGCAAGCATGTGGTGACGGTGCAGATGCTGCTGACTCACACCGCTGGGCTGAGGGAGTTCCACCCCTTCTTCGCCCTCCAGCTCTCCACTCGTCAGCAGGTGCGTGCCTCTTGCCCTATAACATCCATCCAATCCTCTCAACACAGAAGGCAGCAGGTGTGGTCTCGAGGTCTGAGGGGAATGAAAGGGGTGTGTATCGTCGTGAGGAATGGTAAGGGCAGTGACTGTGAGGAACGGCAAGCATGTAGTGACGGTGCACATGCTGCTGACGCACACCGCTGGGCTGAGGGAGTTCCACCCCTTCTTCGCCCTCCAGCTCTCCACTCGCCACCAGGTGAGCTCTTATGCTCTGAGACTTTTACTCTCCGTGAAAGAAGGAGTGTTTTGAGACTTATGCTCTTATGCTCCTCTCCTCGCACCTATTGAAACCACGTGAAAGAAGGAGTGTTTTGAGACGTCTCAAAACACTTATGCTCTGAGACTTTTAATCTCCTCCATACAGCAGACAGCAGGTATGGTTTGGGGCAATCTGAAAGCTCAAATTTAGCAGACAGCAGGTGCACTCTCTTGCTCTGAGACATAACATACCCCCTTCTAGTCACGTTACAACTGACTGACAGGTTTTTTTTTTTTACCTGTTTCACGTGACTCGGTCACAGGTGATTGATTTTATTTTGGCAGGCTGCCTCTCTATCCCCCTTAAGTCACATCTTAATTTGCGATATTCTTTCCTCGCTTTTTCACGTGACTCAATCGCAGGTGATTGACTTTATAATGGCGGACCATCTCTGGTATCCCCCTATAGTCACAACCCGCTACAGCGACCTCTCCATGATCGTGCTGGCGCTCGTGATCGAGCGAATCACAGGCTGCCACCTCAGCACGTTCGTGCACCGGGAGATCTTCAGCCGGCTGGGCATGACAAGCACAGCGTTTCGACCAATCCCAGGGCATCACGGCAGCACGTTCCGACCAATCGGGGACTCAGGAGGAGTTGATCCGCGTGTGGTCCCTACAGAGGTGGATTCTCTGCATCGCAAGAAGCTGCTGTGGGGAGAAGGTGAGAGAGGGAAGGGAGGTGAGAGATAGGAGGGATGTTACAAGACTGCAGTAGGTGTTGATTCCCATGTGGTCCCTACAGAGGTGGAGTCGCTGCATTCCAAGAAGCTGCTGTGGGATGGCTTTTGAGAATTCTCGGTGCGACTTTTGAGAATTCTCGGTGCGACTTTTGAGAATTCTCGGTGCGACTTTTGAGAATTCTCGGTGCGACTTTTTAGAATTCTCGGTGCGACTTTTGAGAATCCTCAAAAGTTCCCGTATCATCCTTACAGAGGTGGAGTCGCTGCATTCCAAGAAGCTGCTTTGGGATGGGGAGGGTTTGAGACGCTGCAAACTGCGTACGGAGCATCATTTGTGTAGGAATGTGATGTCCTAGGGGTCCCAGTGCAGGCCATGCAGCGCTCTTCCTGACTGACTGCCCCGCCTTCCCACTCACTTACTTCCCAGCCGTACGATCTCATCTCTGCGCCATTCCCCCATCCCCCCTTTCCCTCGTTCACCCCTCTACTCCCTTCCCCCCTTGTTCCCCTCCCCCTCCCCGCCAGTGCACGATCCCACGGCATGGATCATGGGGGGTGTGGCGGGTCATGCAGGGCTGTTCTCGACCATTCTTGACGTCACCAAGGTGATTCACTCAAACCTGTGCGCGTGGAGTGGGGGTGGGGGTAAGGGGGGGACTACATGTGGTGATGGGTGAGGTGAGTGCATGCATGTGTCTACGCCGGGCCATGCAGGGCTGTTCTCGATCATCCTTGATGTCACGTCATCAAGGTGATGGCACTGGGGTGGGGGAGGAGAGGAGGGGAGGGCTTATGTGTGTGGTTATGGGTGAATGCATGCATCTCTTTTGAGGCGCCTCAAAAGTCGTCTTATGTGCGTGGTTATGGGTGAATGCATGCATGTGCGTGGTTATGGGTGAATGCATGCATGTGTGGGGGGAGGCACAACCCTATACTTTCAGACGATTCAACAACTCTCATTCCCTGTTTCCCCCTGCCATTAATCTTCCCCTGTGTCTCCAGTTTGCGCGCTGTATGCTTGCAGGGGGCACGGACCCTACCACAGGGCATCAGCTCGTGTCATCACGAACTCTCCGTCTCTTCACCACACCGCCTCCCCCATCCGACCACAACCCTCGCCCCTTTGCACTCGGGTAAATAACCCCTGCTGTAGGTAGGCATAACTCGGAAATTGTCTTCATGTACCTCTGACCACATCCTTCACTTCTTTGCCGTTTAGAGCCACAAACCTTGTTAATGACTCACCCAATACTTGTTTCTTAGGCCTTTTTGTTTTACTCTCTTCCTATTTCTGTCTCTCTTTGTTGCTCTTTTGAGACGTCTCAACATCCCTCTTTGTTGCTCTTCCCCTCTCCGACTCTCTCAGGTGGGATGTGGCCAGCAGAAGGGGCAAGGATGGGTACACATCAGCAGGCCGATTCATGGGCCCACGCACCTTTGGCCACACCGGCTTTACTGGTGAGACATTGTGGTATGAAGCAGATGCTCTTTATATTCTTGAAAAAACACCCACGTCGGTGGGTAGATTCATGGGCCCACGCACCTTTGGCCACACCGGCTTTACTGGTGAGACTCCGTGCATGCTATGTGAATTTTGAGTCGACTCAAAAGTGACACTGTGCCATGCTATGTTGTCTGAGGCTCTTGCCTCACTTGCATTGCGTCGTCGTCACCTGCCCTAGCCCATCGTGTGGAACTTCATTCATTGCAATTTTAACTGCCCAAACCCATCATGTGGAACTTCATTGCAAATTTACCTGCCCTCCCCTCGTGTGGAACTTCATTGCAAGTTTTCCTGCGCTCAGAATCAAATGTCAACTTTGTTCCTTGAAATGCCGCCCTTGAAACACCCTCCTATCAGGAACATCCCTATGGATAGACCCTGATCGCAACACCTTTGTGGCTCTGCTCTCTAACGCTGTGCACCCCTCCGTGGTGAGAGAGAAACAATTCTTTTTTTCCTTCTTTCTTTCTTCCTTTGTTTACTTTTCTCTTGTCAAGAATCCATAAACACAAAAACAGTGGGTTTAAAGTCCTTCATGCACCCCAACTTCCTTCTCCCGTTGCTGCATGCGTCCTCATTGCCAATACTGCAGTCGCCACTCTTGGCTCACTGGCCCTCTTGCTACTTAACCTCACTCCCACCCACACCTCCGCCACACAATCACCCTCTCCCACAATCACAATCACCCTCTCTGTTCAGGACACCCCAACGGCCCTCACCGTTCGTGACGTGAGACCCCTCATAGCCAATGCTGCTGTTTCTAGTCTCTGTCAACTGGCCCTCTTATCTCTGAAACTCATCACTCCCACTCCCACCTGCTCCCTCTCCCCATTTCCCACTCAGGACACCCCAACGGCCCTCACCGTTCGTGACGTGAGGCCTCTCATAGCCAACGCTGCAGTCACCACGCTCGGTCAACTGGGCCTCCCTCGGCGCACCCTCACCTGGCACCTCGGCTCGCAACCAGGCACACAGACAGACGCACAGATATATTTCGAGGCTCGTGCAGAAACAGTCGCAGATACAGATGTGGAGAGCGGTGTCGAGGCTGGTGCGGAAGCAGGGGCACGGGCAGCGGACGGCACAACATGGGTTCAAGAAGCGAGGATAGCAGCAGCATGTGGGGGACCAGGAGAAGCAAGAGCAGGAGGAGAAGGAAGAGCAGGCCTGGTATCCATGTTGATCGCAGCTCAAGGAAGAAGGATGGGAGCAGCACCACCAACGGGAGGCAGGCTGGCAGCCAAGCAATCTCTGTCTCAGCACAGAGAACCGCTTTCCCCTCAGAAGGTGCGGGCTACCCTGCAGCAGACCCAGCAGTGTGGGCATGCACTGCCGAAGCCATGCCGACCGGCCGTGGGCTGCGGAGCAGCAGAGGCGTGCGCGGCAGTGGATGGGTGCCGATCCAGCTGCATGCATGAAGCAGCAGAGGTGTGCCAATCAGGTGGGTTGTGTGAGGCAGGTAGATGTGAGGCAGGTGGGGCGTGTGCGGCAAGTAGATGTCAGGCAGGTGGGGGGTGTGAGGCAGCAAGAAACCCAGGCGAGCATTACCGGTATATTGATATAAACCAGAGGATGGCATGTGCCAGATCGGCATCGGGCTGTGTACCAAACGTGTTTGCCGAAGCACATACGGGGGTGACGAGCCTGTGCGTCCGTGCTGGTGCTAGTTGTGAGGTTGAAGGGCCCTTGGCAAGGCAAAGCAGTTGTGGTGAAGAGGTAGTGGTGAATATAGGGAAGGAAGGAAAGGATGGAAAAGACACACCGGTGGTGCTTCGATGGCTCACAAAGCTGAAGAGGGAACATATGGCTAGAGGCGGCCTTGTACTCCTTATCACTGCCTTCATTATTGTTCTTTGAGTGCTTCTGTTGGGCATGAAGCCTTTGAAGAATGTGTTATTGCAGCTCATTCCCTCAGCTAGACACCTTCCATCAGCACCACATTTACCAAACAAATCTGGGAATATGAGGCATCGGGTCGTATGGATAGGCAGGCACGCAGGCAGGCTTACACGCACATATTAGAAACGACACCACTTGTCACATCACAAGATCACACGTAAGGGCTGCTGGTACTACCAGCCTGGTAGGTAGGGTAGCGAGCCGCCGAGCCATACAGCAATCTTCCTTGCCCTGCTGACATCACCCCTGTTCTCCTGTCATCTCGCCTGCGATCCTTGTCGCTGCCTGCTGCTGGCACTGCGGCTCAGTTGACGCAGGGGCTGCAGGGGCGGTGGGTGGCGTAGTGAGCTGTGCAACAGAATAACTGCGAAGCAGGACGGAGAGAGGACATGGGGACAATCAGGCGAGTTGGGGTAAACGGGGCAACACATGGGGTATGGGGGGCTACATGGGTGGGGGGCAGGAAAGCAGGATGTGCAGCAGAATAGCTGCAAAGCAGGGAGGGGGGAGGACATGGGGGAAATCAGCCTCTGGGGAGTTAACAGGGGGTTGCAGGGGTGGTGGGTAAGAGCGGGCTATGCAGCAGGATAACTGCAGGGATGGAAGAGGAGGAAGGCTTTGGGCGTATTGAATGAGGCAAAGAAGAGAGCTTACCAAAGAGGGAAAGGCTGAGGGCGAGTGAGAGAGCCGGCACAACTCTGAAGCAGAATGCCACAACCCACAGGGCTGGCAAATCAGAAGGAGGACAGCAGGAACGGCAAAGAGCGAACACAAAGGGAGAGCGGAAGGATGGCATGGTGAGTGCTATGAAACAATCCAGCCATTGTTCCTAAGATGCTTCCAAAGATATTAACCCATGCCATAACCCACGCACCAAAAGCCAACCCACCCTCCCCAGCCCATGCTTCAAACCTTCCCCCACCCGCCCCAGAAAACGCACTTAAACGCAGCAGGAATTGGCCAGCGTGCAGGCGCCAGCTATCCTTGTGCACTAGCAGCGCCTTGTGAGTCTACCCCAACCCCACCCCTAACCCAACCCCACCCCTAACCCATCCCCACCCCTAACCCATCCCCAGCCCCAGGTCCCCTCAACAAAGCAACTAGCTGCAGCAGGAATCGGCCTGCATGCAGGCGTCAGCTGTCCTTGTGCGGTCGCCGCACCTTTTAAGACAAAACCTTCCTTCCCCCAAGCCCCACACCCCACCCTAAACGACGCACCTAGCTGCAGCAGGAAGCGGCCGGCGTGCAGTCGCCAGCTGTCCTTGTGGACTCGTAGCACCTTGTGAGTCGACCCCAAGCCCACCTCTTCCCCACCCCACTCCCCATCCCCTCCACCTGAAGACACATCTAGCTGCAGCAGAAAGCGGCCAGCGCGCAGGCGCCAGCTCTCCTTGTGCACTCGCCGCACCTTTTTTTAAGACAAAACCCTCCTTCCCCCCAGCCCCACACCCCACCCTAAAAGACGCACCTAGTTGCAGCAGGAATCGGCCAGTGTGTAGGCGCCAGCTGTCCTTGTGCACTCGCAGTGCCGCGTTGCACTTTTTCAGTTCCTGCCACAGCCGCACCAGCGCTGCCAGCCCCGCACACGCCACTGGCCGCTTGTACCTGCAGGGAAGCATGGAAAGAGGGGGGGAGCGAGTCAAGGAACCCACAGCTCGTGCCACAGCCGCACCAGCGCTGCCAGCCCCGCACACGCCACTGGCCGCTTGTACCTGCAGGAGGGAGAGCAAGCACAGACGGACGGACGGATGGACAGATAGAGCGGGGGAATGGAAACCTGGAAAGCTGCAGCTCGTGTGATGGGGGTGAAGGAGGGAATGGAGGGGGGACGGGGGATGGGATGGAGGGGAAAAGTGGTGCGGAGGAGCGACTGGGGAGGAACAAGGCCGGGTATGGGATAAATGGCAAAAAGGAGGAAACGAGGGTAAATTCTAGGGATATAGGTGAAACAGAGCAGGGGAAGATGGAAACGGGAAGCACGCGGAGAAAGCGGCGGATATGCGGCTAATACTGACTGTCGGGCGAATCAGGAAGACACGTACATGACGCAAACGAGGAAAAATAGAAGAACCCGGAGGTAGTTTCCCAAAAACTCCACAAAATTCGAGTCCACTCGCCTCCCCATTTCCGTCCAGCTGCCCGGAAAGGAATACGCCGACCGTAATTGACCCCAGCCGAAAAACAAATCCGTCCACGGTAGAGGCGGTTTTTTTAGATCCTCTATAGTTAGCATCGATATACGACTGGACGGCGCCGCTGCAACGGATCGCCGAGATCCGTTATAGGGAGGCGCGTTTCCAGCACCGGACGAGCCTTCGCGACCTCCTCTCCATCTGTTGACGTCGTCCGTTGGATCTAACGAATCTACACCGTCCCCCTGAGCTCGCCGGAGCGCCTGGTCCTGAAGTAACGCGTGAACTTGTTCTGGCGGGAACGCAAGCGACAGCGGGTTCTGTGCGAAAGCCATACTTCGCCTGTTACCCTAACCCCAAACTTATAAATGATGGTTTCCGAATCAGTTGCGAATGCGGGTCAGGCGCAGAGGCAGATAGGCATGACTACTGAGACGCAGTTAGCGAGAGGGTTGCGAACGTCTCGGGCACCTGTATGAAGTGCTGCCGAGCTGAGGTTGTAAGAACTTCACGACACGAGGGAACGGCAAACTCGTCACATGACAACTTCGAGACGAGTCACAAGAGGGAGAGTGGCTTCGTTTTGAAATTTGTTTTACTCTTCATATGTGAGAATCGGAAATCGAAGCAAAACCACTAGCATGGAGGAAACGCTTCTAACGGGTACGCCACGAACAAGCAACAAAACATTATCATCGTATCCTTGAACTTCACATTAAGTTTGCCTACGTCGTATCGGTGCGTACACCAAGAAGATACAGAAAGCTGACCTGTCGAATTTTTGTCATCCACCTCACCTCGAACCTGCCACGCTTGCATCCGCCAAATTGCAACACGGCGGACGAGGAAGACACGGAGGACTTCACAGTCCTCTCGGTCAACCCGGCCTATCCCCCTGCTGCTCGATGCTCCGCTGGACGCATTTTTCGAACCGCAGTTTCTCGATTGACAGTTCAACTGGCGTTCACTGGAACTCCTCGTCGTCGCAAGAAATCGGCCTTGCGCGTCGCGCAATTCCACATCGTCGCACAAGAGCGGAATTCGCCTTGCTGTCAGCACAGCAACAAGCAAATGTCGTTGTCTCTCTCATCTCATCCCTGTCAGCTACCCCTCCCCTCCTCATCCCCCCCTCTCCTTCAATCCTCACCCCCCTGCCCCTCTTCCCTTTCCCCCTCTCATTTTTCGTCCCCTGCCCCTCTTCCCCTTCCCCTGCACCGCTCCCTCTTCCCCTGCTCATATCTCCCGCTCCTCCCAAACTTTCATACCCACGTCATAATCCCAAGATCGTAATACATAACGCCTCGAGCGGAACTCAAAATCCATCATTTTTAGACTCTGTTTCCTTGACAAATGAGCGTCACCATTCCGAACATTCATATCCAGAAGCCGATTTCCGGCTCATTAATTATTGTTTACCTCCTGAAGCATCTTGTCGGGTCCTGTTCGACTTCTACCGCCAGTAGTAGAATCAGCGACCGAAACCTTATTTTATTACCAGTAGCACCCGTTACCACTGGTTGAACTTGACTCACACACCACCAAATCCTGATGAAGAACTTTGCGATTCCTTTCCTTCTCCTTGCCGTCGTTTGGACCGTCGCACCGACCACCCACGCGTCGCGCGTTTTAAAGGCCGCAACGCCAGAATCGTGGGATTCGCCGCCTGCGGCGGTGGTGGTGGGGGTCAACTATCTGCCTGCTCGTCCGCGAAGAGAGCTCGCGACAACTAACACAGCGATTGGAGGCACCTTCGGTGATGTTAGCGAAGTGCCTAGTAGTAACGCCCCGACGACAAGTCACACGCGACGAGTTCTAGCGAGCGACTACTTTTACGAGGAAGAAGATAGCGACGAAAGCGGCGGATCGAACGGCGACGACTACTCGAGCGGCGCGTGGGAGCCTCCCAGGCCACAATCAGGCTATGTCGGCTCCCCGTATACGGGCACGGAGCCCTTTATGGGCGACTGGGTTCCAACAGACGACTCGACTTCAACAGACTCCGATGGTAGCGGCGAGGAAAGCGGCGGGGAAAGCGGCGAAGAAAGCGTGGGCGACTCGAGCTGGGAAGAAGAGCCATTAACAAGCGATTTCAGTGACGGTGGCAGCGGCGAGGAAAGCGGCGGCGATGGCGGCGGGTTCTGGGACGAGCTATGGAGCAAGTGGGGGTGGGACTCGTCTGAAGAACCGGATACAATCAGCGGCGCGGATCCTGGGAATGGCTGGAGCGACGACGGAAGCAGCGGCGGAGACGATAGCTGGACTGACGACGGCAGTGGCGGGGGTGACGAGGGGTCGAACGACGGCTCTAGTAGCAACTGGTCAGACGGCGGGTCTAGTAGCGATTGGTCGAACGGGGGAACGAGCGGAGGCGGATGGGGGAATCCGTACCCTGGTTACGGGTGGATTGGCTCCACTGATACCAGCGGCAGCACGGACGAAGAAGGCGAGGGCGGCGAGGCGCAATACAGCACTTTGACAACAACGAGTGGCGACGACGGCAGCAGCAGCAGCAGCAGCAGCGCCAGTAGCAGCGCGAGCTCCAGCAGCAGTACCACTGTCAGCAGCAGTGTGACGTCAGCAGGAGCGGGCGATTCCGTTGTTCCTCTCTTCCCAGACGAGGGCTCAGCGTCCCCTCCCCCATTAATGGACGATCCCACGGATGCTCCAGTCAACCCCCCAGAAGCTCCCCATCAGGGCTCCGCCTCCCCTCCCCCGTCCCGCGGGTCTCCCGACCGTCCACTCCCCACGCCTCCTGGCCATCCATCCAACGGCCCCCAGCCTCCGAGGAGTCCTCATCCACCCAACGGCTCGCCTCCTCCTGCTGCAGCTGATATTCCCGTTCCAAAGCCACCGCACGTGCCTGGCGGTCCCACCACCCCTCCTCCCTCTGGCGTTCCGTCTGTTCCCACACCGCCCCCTGATGTTCCTCCTACCCCTGCTCCTCCCACTGATGGAAACGTTGTTCGTGCTCCCTCTGACGGCTCTACCACCCCCGTTTTCCCTCCTGGCGGCCCAACCACCCCCGTCCCCCCGCCTGACGGCTCTACCACCCCCATTCCCCCGCCTGATGGCGCCACCACCCCTCCTCCTCCTGATAGTCCTCCTGACGGCGCAACCACCCCTGCCCCTTCCTCAACCTGCGTCATGGATCAAGGGGCCGTGCAGGCAGCCCTCTCATGGGCATGTGGCGCTGGTGGCGCAGACTGCTCCGCCATCCAGCCTGGCGGCGCATGTTACGAGCCGAATACACTCGCCGCGCATGCGTCTTACGCATTTAATAAGTACTATCAGCAGCGCGCGCACGCGCCTGGGACCTGCTTCTTTGGAGGGACGGCTGTGGTGGTGCCGGCGCTGCCTGACTACTCGCCTGAGACTGGAGGCTGCAAGTACCCTGAGGGGAATGCTCAGTACTGTGTTGTGGGCTGCAAGTGAACGAATAAGCAGCCCATACATTGTATGTGAGGACGCTGGTGATGTGGTTACTCCAGTAGATTTTGTGTATAGGAGAGTGGGTGTTCATTGCTGGGGTTTTAGACCAGGTGTGGTGTAACTTTGCTGTGTGCTATCTATTCGTATACCATGGTACGATTTCAAAACTGAAAACCCTGGAAACCCAGAACCATATGAAGTACCATAATCAAGCAAAGACTTCAACAATACAGGGTACCATAAATTTAGCAGATAAGGTTGTTGGAACTACAGACATGGTGTTGTGTACCAGTACATCTGAAACGGTGAGTGTGTTGTAGTCCATGTCAACATGGCCTTTTCCTACAAGGTTGAAGCTCACATCACATGCGTTCTGTGAGTACTCGTGCAATCCAGGAAATTATGACATGTGCAGTTGCAAAGCACCTCACTGTCTTCATTAGGTGACAATCCAGCTTGATAATGTATTCGAATACAGTAACCTAATTTTGCAGTGCTTGTGCTTGTACCGTGTGTTGCGTTGGGATGTAATTGCCACGTGCCTCCAATTCTCTCACGCCGAAAATGCTGAATATTGGCTGTAACCTGGTTCGTTTGCTTGAATCCATTGTATTCATTGGTCACATGACAATACCCAGTAATATGGAGGGCCCGTTTCATGTTGAGATTGCTGCATGCTTACAATATGTCACTTGGATAACCTAGAATAAACTGCACATAGAAGCAAGAGTGGTATCATCAGCCTGCGGGAGTAACTAGATCGAGAAACGCAATAATGGGCAACGACAGGTGACAACTTTCCCTTTGCTTCACCTCCCTGTCGTCGTGCGTGTCCCTGCTAAAGGTGTTGATTTGCTAGACCTGCCTTTGCGACTTCGGCGAATTTGTCCACCTCAGCGACAGCTATCCCCCAGGTCCCGTTGACTCCAGGGAAGCAAGCGACTCGAACTGGCAGCGTCCTGGGTTCTCCGTGCTCCTACCGAGTCTAGCGAACTTGTACTCCCTCGTCGTCAACCTTGCCACTGGAAAATTCACTTGTTTGTCAGTCCTGCGAAGAATGATATGCTTCGCTGGAATCGTTCAATAGTTTCGCATGCCATTGTGATGCCAGCGGAGAGCATCTTTCTCTCCTCTCGCAACTCAACTCCACCCCTCTCCTCCCCGCATCGGTGGCCAGGAGCCAAGCCAAATGACGTCCCTAGTACAGAACCACCCTTCTCTGCCGCTAACAATATAAGGACTTCTCGAGCCACGCATCTCATCTTGCAATCTAAGTAGACATTCCGCAGCTACTTCTCGCATACCGTCTTTTCGCTCTTGGAATCTCGTGTGCACCATTCGTAGATTTTTTCTTTCTTTCTTTCAAGCACCACAATTGTCGTCATGAAGCCGCTTGTGTACGCCATCCTCCTGCCCGTCCTCCTCGGCACTCTTGATTCCGCGCTCGCGCGACTGAAGAGGGCGCGCCCCAAGCGCGCAAGCCCCGCGGTGTTCATGGGCGGACAGCCATGGTATCCTCCCCCGCAACGGTTCCGCCCCAAGCGCGCCAGCCTCGCTCACCCGCTGCTAGACCAGCGCGACCCGTCTCCGCGGAGGCTCCGCCCCAAGCGCGCCAGCATCGTGCACCCGCTGTTAGACCAGCGCGATCCGTCTCCGCGGAGGCTCCGCCCCAAGCGCGCAAGCATCGCGCACCCGCTGTTAGACCAGCGCGATCCGTCCCCGCGAAGGTTCCGCCCCAAGCGCGCCAGCCTCGCGCACCCGCTGCTAGACCAGCGCGAGCCGTCTCCGCGGAAGTTCCGCCCGAAGCGCGCCAGCCTTGTTCAGGCTACTGAGAGCGCCCCGAGTGCTCCGCGGATGTTGCGCGGAGGAGGCTACGAAATACTCCGCGATGAGCCTGTGGCTCGTTATAGCACGACTGATTACTACACTTCGGATTGGTACACTCCCGAGTCGTCGTACTGGACTGACCCCTATGGGGGGCTATATGATTATGGCAGCGATTCTAGCTCTTACGGCGATTTCTACGGTTCTTATGGGTCTGGATACGATACTGATTGTTCTGGATACGATACTGTTTGGTCTGGAGATGGTACCGACTCGTCTGGATACGATATTGATTGGTCTGAATATTATGATTGGTTAAACGCGTACAAGTTCGGACTGTAGTATTTTTCGAAGGACCATGGATGTGTGTCTCTTTGGTCTCCTTCGTCAGCGCACCACGGATCGTACAGGAGGGCGGGACTTCAGCTTTATTTCCCTCGGCGATTTGCCTCATCACGTGGCCAGATCTGAGGGGAAGTTAGATTATGATCAGGGGTGTGTGTGTGTGTTTTTATGTGTGTGTGTGTGTGTGTGTGTGTGTGTGTGTGTGTGTGTGTGGGACCTATTCTGGACTCGCAATTTTTTCATACTGGATTGTATATACTGCTCACTGGAGTTTCTTGAAGGAAACATAAACCTAACATAAACACAGTGCTTGAAGGAAAGAGAATTGTCAGCATTGGCTGACATTGAAGAACCTCCAAACGTGCACATGTTATTATGAGGCGAGGTATGGGCTGGCTTGGCTACCACTGTGGTGGTCTTATAAATCCATGTTTCCCTCTGCGCCAGTCTCTCACGTCACGACTTTCAAGCATCACTTAGTACTAAGGCACTCCACAAGCCATAACTATATACACCTGATTCTCATGATATTTTTGCGGTAAGATAAGTTTGTACCGTGGTTCGTCTACTTTATCAGCATTCTCTTGCTCCACGCAATGAATTGCATCAGTAATTAGGTAGTAAGTTCAGTTACTGTGATTAACTCAACGAGTTTACAGACAATGTTCACATGTATTGCGTGATTCCGCAGGTTGGCACCACCACATTTGAGTAGATCCCTACGATTGTGTCAAATGTTATTATTTGTTATACCGTATTCTCCCGGATAAAACACCCTAGGGTATTATGAAAACCAATGGAAAAAAATGGGGGGGGTCTCCTCAAAGGAAAATCCTATATAATACCCGGGTCTTATGATATGGTATATTTTTTATAAAACAAAAAAGATGTGAAACAAAATCAGGGGTCTGACTTCACTTCAAGATTGTTGATCAATGCCGCAAAACCGAGTACGAGGATATTGTGGGCCACTTGGGCCACTTGGGCCACTTCACCTCTTGGACCACTTGTAGTGGAAGATTTGTCAGCGTGGCGATAGCAAGATTTTGGGATTCACCAGCATGGCGACAGCGAGATTGTGGGAGGGGGTATATCTCGGCTGATTCTAAGTGAAAGTACATGCGAAATTTCTTCTAGGGAGTGATTTTCGCGATATCCTCCCGTAAGGAATCGGACTCGATAACAGCTATAATATGAATCTATAAGAAAAGGGGGGTGTTATAGAGAATCACCCCAAAAAGGGGGGTATTGTCAGGATGAGAACTACAGCGGAATGCGTTGTGTTGACAGAATTGGGGTACATCACCTAACCCTAACTAGTTGTACCCCATATAGCCCAACCCACTACAGGCTATAATATTTGACACACCCCCATAGCCTAAGTGGGGAAGGCCAATCAACAACAAGCAACCTACGGTCAGAAGACCAGTCAAAAACAAGAGAAAGAAAACAAAGCTCAGGGTGGATCACAACGTCACCACCTAATCTGAGCACAAGCAAAGGGCCACAAGGCCAGTCCAAAAGTGTGCAAACAAATATATATATATATATATATATATATATATATATATAAAGTACAAGCAAGCAACAGACAAAGAGCACCCTACAGCAGTCAACTAGACCCAGTCTCAACGAGGCCTAACTGCAGACAAAACCGACGGTGGTCACAAGGCTAGAGGGCCTTGGTGAAGATGTCTGCAGTGTTGGCCTCGGAGGCCACAAAGTCCAGACGAGCCTGTCCGCGTCTCTGCAACTCTCGAAGGAGGAAGTACCTGACGTCGATGTGCTTCACTCGGCTCTCCAGTCGAGGCTCACGACACAGGAGAATCATCGCCCTGTTGTCAGCAAACAGGGTCGGTGCAGAGCTCGGCCGCTCACCAAGGTCAGTGAGCAAAAAGGTCAACCAGCGTAGCTCCTGAGCAGCAAGGGCCCCAGCGTAGATCTCGGCCTCTGCGGTAGAAGTCGCAACAGAGGAGGACCGAGTAGACCTCCACGAAACAGCTCCAAAACCCAGGCTGAAACAGTAACCCTGCGTAGACCTCTGAGTCTCAACGTCGTCAGCGTAGGAAGAGTCACAGTGACCGGTGAGTACAACTGGTTGTGTCCCTCCAAGTACAAGCCCCATGCCTGATGTCGCGCCAAGGTACTTCGCCACCCTCTTAGCCGCCGCCCAGTGAACAGGACGGTGTCTCCCAGTCGCAACAAAGCGAGACAGGATGCTAAGGGGGAAGGCGAGGTCCGGGCGAGTGCACGTCATCAGGTACATGAGGCAGCCCACCAGCTCTGCGTAGGGACCACTGCGCTCGAACGGCTCGTCAGGAAAAGGCCCAGTGAGTCTGTGGTCTACAGCAAGAGGAGTGGGGGCAGGAGAAGAGTCCTTAAGCCCGAACCGCTGAAGAACCTGCTGCACCATGTGTGACTGAGTGAGAGTGATGGTGCGAGCGGCTGTGTCCCTGGAGATCTGCAGGCCAAGGTAGCGGCGCAGCTCCCCAAGGTCAGTGCAGGTGTGTCTCTTCTGCAGTTCGGACTTCACCTCCGCCAGTGCAGCTGTGTCGGCCGTGGCAAAAACCAAGTCGTCAACGTAGACTAGGACGAAGAAAGGTGAAGCGGCCACCGGGATCTCCCCCAGTCTTCAAGGCACGCTACGTGGCTAGAGGGTTCAGTCAGCGCGAGGGGGTTGACTTCTTTCAGACCTTCGCGCCCACCCCGAAGATGACCACTCTTCGGGTGTTACTGCACGTAGCAGCGCAGAGAGACTACGAGCTACACTCTCTATTAGCTACTAACGGGGTCGGATATAACACCCACCCCGTATTAGCTACCCGGGGGTGTACAATTACGGGGGGGTGTTTTATCCGGGAGAATACGGTAGGTTGCTGTGAGATGTTCCTTAGTGAGTATAACTCAGTTAGGGTTTCATATTTGTACTCCCTTGCTTTCCTAGTCACACCATTCCGGTGCATTCTATTTCTGAGATGGTATCACGAGTTGTCAGAAGACCACTGGCAACACAAACAAAGCCCAGTGGTTAGTGGCTGGGATTCTAACATGTTATTAGAGCGAAGATCTCGGGGTTCGAATCCCAATGTGTGCACTTCGGGCATCCTAGTGCGGGGGGGTGTTAGAGGTCCACTGGTCATCCCCAATTGATCCTAGGGTAGGGTTACAGGCACTTTGGCATGGGGGGTTATGGGCGCACTCACCCGCTCCACAATCAAGCCCTTTTATCCCAGTGGTTAGTGGCTGGGATTCTGACACGATTAGGTTTAGAATCCTTGCCTAGCCTAGCCTACCTCGCGCCCTCCACGCCCTAGAGCGCCCCCGCGCCTTATGCGCCCTTCGTCACGCGCCCTAGCGCCCACCGCGCCCTCGCGCCTTCCGTGTTAGAATCGGTAGCTAGGGATGATGAGACTATCGAGAAAGTTTGGTACGAAATAGGAACAAGGGGCTGTACCCCATAGTGGCTACCCCACTACAACCTAGATAAATAACCTAAGCATACATGTTTGACACACCCCCATAGGTAAAGTGGGGAAGAACAAGGGGTCACAAGACCAATCAAGAGAAGCAAAGCAAGCTCAGGGTGGATCGGAACGTCACCACATACTATGACCACAAGCAAAGGGCCACAAGGCCAGTTCACATGCAGAGGTATATAAGTATTAGCAAATAGTACAGTAATCATTACCTAGCAAGTGTAGGCATGCATGTATATAATAGAGATCCCACTACAAGCAAGGTCAAGAGGTAAGCAAGTGAGACGAAACAGGTACAAGGCCAAGAGCAGTCCAGAAGCGCTGATGGTTACAAGGCGGAAGCGCCTTGGTGAACACATCAGCAGTGTTGGCCCGAGTGGCCACGTACGCAAGACGGAGTTGTCCACGCTGCTGCAGCTATCAAGCCATGAAGTAACGCAGAGCGATGTGCTTCGTTCTGTGCTCCAGTCTGTGGTCTTGGCACAAGGAAATCATGGCCTTGTTGTCGACGTACAAAACTGGAGGAGAACGAGGCGGCTCTCCCAAGTCGGTCAGCAGGTAGGTGAGCCAGCGTAACTCATGTGCAGCCATGGCCCCTGCGTAGATCTCAGCCTCACAACTGGAGCTGAGAACAGAAGACGAGTGGGTAGACTGCCACGAAATAGAACCGGAGCCAAGGCTGAAGGTGTAACCCTGTGACGACCGCTGCGTAGCCAAGGCGTCAACCCAAGAAGCGTCTCCGTGACCAGTGAGGACAACTGGACCCCGTCTTCCAAGCACGAGCCCCATGCCCGACGTACTGCACAAGTAGCGCATCACCCTCTTAGCGGCCTTCTAGTGCTCTGTTCGGTGTCTCCCGGGCGCAACGTAGCGTGCCAGGATGCTAAGAGGGTAAGCAAGGTCAGGTCGAGTGCAAGTCATCAGGTACATGAGGCAGCCCACAAGCTCTGGATACGAGCCACTCGGCTCTACGGACTCATCCGAAGGCAGAGCTGAGAGCGAATGACCGGTAGGCAGAAGAGTGGCATGTGGCGTGGAGTACTGGAAGTTGAAGCGCTGAAGGACCTGCTGCACCATGTGTGACTGAGTCAAGGTAATGGTGCGCCGTGCTCTGTCCCGGGTGATCTGTAAGCCAAGATAGCTGTGCAGCTTACCAAGGTCTGTGCACGTGTGTCTCTTTTGCGGCTCCGACTTCGCTAGAGTCAGTGCCTCAGTGTGAGCAGTGGCAAAAACCAAGTCGTCGACGTACACGATGATGTAGAATAGCGGCAGCGAAGTGTCGGTGCGCAGAAACAACAACGGGTCAGCAGAAGAAGGAGCAAACCCAAGTGCCGCTAGTATGGTCCTCAGTGTGTCGTGCCACTCGCGAGGCGCCTGGCGGAGACCGTAGACTGGCCGTCGCAGGCTCCACTGGGTACCCTCAGGAAACAACCCAGTGAAGCCACGAGGACAGTGCAACCAGATCTCCTCGTGCAGACTGCCCTGCAAGAACGCTGTGTTGAAGTTAAGGGAGTGGAGCTC